TCATGGATGTCAGCAAAGTGCGTGACAACAAGGGCGGCACAACCATCGGAGAGGCTGCCCATCATTCCGCAACCCTCAAGGAATTTATTCACCAAGTCGTCTCTGTCAGTCATCTTGACCTTCCTCTGAAGCTTGGTAAGTGTTGAGGAGCAGGTGTGGCAGTCAGACTTGCCTTCTTCGGCAGGCTTAATGACAGCAACTGATGAGCTAGGCCTGTGCAGAGACACTTTAGTCAACTTGCCCGCAGCAGCCAGCATACGATCAATCTCTGCGTTGTTGCAAAGGCCAGCCACAGAGCACACCACCTGGGGGTTCATCTGTGAGGCGAGGGTCTCCACCAGTTCGGGGATGAACTCGTCCACCAGCTTGTCGCAGCCCTTGGCCACGGGCTTGAGGGGGATGAGGTTGCACGAGCCCTCGAACACCTCCCGCAGCTCCTCTTGCGTCTCGTTGCTCTCCAGCTGATCGCGGGCCTGCTTGACCATGTTCTTGCACAGGGTGCAGATGTCATCGTTGTCCTCGGGAAGGGTCATGTGCTCCCACACGGTCTGGATGCAGTGCTTGACGGCGCCGCAGCCCTTGGCCGTGGTGATGTTCTGGCACCAGTACGATGGCCCCCAAGTGCAGGCCTTTTCCCGAGTTCCTAGGAGCCTTGGGCTGGGCACCACGACGGCCGGACCCGCGAGCGCCGCGACGCACAGGGCGCCCAGCGCCACCACGCAGAGCCACACCTTGCTCCCCATCGTGCTGGTCGTCTTGTAAAGGACCGCACTTCAGCGCCTATCTCTCGTCGCAGTTCAATACGCCTAGCAGCAACTTCACGGGCGCCGATCACTTTGTTCACTGACGATGACACAAGACACAATGGACCTCGGGCTCGGGGCAAAACAACAACAAAAATGAACGACGCACGTCCCCCTCCACTTTTGCTCGAAAGGTACACCAACTGTTGAAACTTACAAAACTAGAGTTGGTAGTTCCATAATCGCGTAATGTTTTCTACAACTAAACCAATGATCAGTTCAGTAATTTTCTCAAATGACGAAAATCCCGCTTAGACATACAGCCACCTTTTCATTTTTGTACGCACAAAGATGCAAACTCTACAGTTGGTCATTCCGAAACCAAAAGCTTCTGCTAGGCCAGCTGCTGTCTGACGAATCCATCTGGCTGTGAGCGTGAGTGAAGTGAAGGCATATCGTATATCCGAAGCAAGTTCAATCAATTTCGCTTGGTTTTTGCTGAAGCAGAGCGGCTGTCATTGATAATTAGGTGATTTTTTAAAACTTAGATTTAATTTTACGTTTGCGTTGAAACTGTAAGAACTTCAACTTCCTTAAATAACTTGGCAAACACAACATAGCCCACGGTACAGTAAAGGTTATGTTGTCACATTTCGTTCATTCTAATTTTAATTCGCAGTGATAATGACGAAGTGAGAGTTAACTATCATTGAAACTTTCATGCCCTATTTCCTCTTTAAAATATAATTATGATACATCTGATAATGACTCACAATTCCTTTTTTCTGTCTCATTAAAGTCACAATGTGTATTTCCTGGTAATTCAAAAATTTGTCTGTGTTTTCAATCAGTTTGATTCAACTAGTATTATACACTATTTGTTTCAGGAAGCCATTCAGAGTTATTGGTCCAACATGTTCATCACTGCCCTGTTAAGAGCCAAAGTTAAAACGAGGTGAGTTTGTTTATATCTTTTAATATTATTCACTTAAAAAACAACAACAATGGAACTCTTTTAAAACTCATAAGTTTGCTCTTCTTTACCTGTAGAAACGTTTTAGTTATGTGTGAGAGTATTGCATCTGGCCACAGAGTTAATGTCCTGAGAGAAAGAAATGCAGACAAATTAGAATTTATTCGTTTTGATCCCACTAGTAAGTATTTTACGCAACCCTGATTTGTAACGACAGACTTATTTGACTTATCTGTAAAATTTAATCTTACACTTTTCTGTGTTTTTTTCTTCCAGTTCAGCAAGAATCTTTGTACAGAGAACTGAAAAAGCTGAAGAGTGTTACAATGCTTACAAAAGAACAAAGAACAAAGTCAAAGGGGCCATTGAACTGGGTAGCAGAAGAGCTATAATCCATATTTATTATAGTGTAACATCTTTTGTATTATTTTTAAAGGAAACAATAGAATTAAAATTTGGGCTTAAGTGATTTTGTTTTTTGCCTGTCATTAGTTTGTTTGTGGTTGAAGGGAGTTCTAAGAAACACACAGGATTTCTTTATTCATGCGTAATATTTGTAAGGTAAAGGGATTGATTATTTTTAGGGATGTACACTTGACATAGTTACTTCAGTAGTGAATGTACCATTCATTTCTTCCAGCTTGATAAGATTGACTTTTTAACCATCTGCAATCCATTTTGCAGGTGCATGTTAGCATTCACTGGAAATGTGCAGGATGCTTTGTAGGTTGTGACATTTGGGTCATCAAATGCTGCCTTCAGACACTTGTATATAAAGATGTATTGTTGCTGCAAATATAAAAAGAAATATTAAGTTTTTATATTGGTGTCTGCAACAATATATAACATTGTTTTCTTACGTACCTGACATTGCACCATGAAAGGTCTCTGCTCCCGTAGCTTCATCACCACTCCAAAGATGTCTATCTTCTTCTTGGCTTTGAGTCGTTGCAGAAGGATGTCCACCGCAATCAGAGTTCCTGTCCGCCCGACACCCGCGCTGGCAAAAGCAAAGGTATTCACTGTAGATGACTTTTCCTTGGGGAAAGTCGAATGGTTCTGTGTCCCGGCGGAGGGTCCCGGAAGGTCACCTGCAGTGGACCACCATGAGCCCGGGGAAGAGCAGGGCGTGGCGGCGAACAGTCCTGCAGAACTGCAACACGTGCACCGAGGACGCGGGGCAGCCGAAGTCCGGCCAGTCGAGGAAGTGCAGGTGGTGCACCAGCCGCTGCTCCGAGCCCTGCACGCAAAGCGACGCAAAGCTTTTCTTGAGCACGAGGCAGGGCGCCCCCTCCGGGTAGGCAGCCCATGCTGCTCCGGCGCGAGCTGGGCGGCCGACCTTCACCCACCTTGTGCATGGCGAGGGTGCGCAGCGTGTACGTGGGCAGGTCATTCTGCACGGAGCACTCCACGGCCAGGTCTCCCCACATGTAGCGGTCGCCCAGCTCCGGGTAGTACTGGTGGCACTTGGTCTGCCGACAGGACAAAATGACATGACCACCGTGCGTACACTGTAAATCCGGGGTGTCCAGCAGGTAGGCGACAAAGTCACTTTACATGCAAAACTAGGCGACTTATATTGACTATCTGCTGGACACCCCAGATTATCGGGTATCGGGGGGCACACAGAAAGTGTGTGCGCCGTGCCGGGCACCGGGACCGAGTTTATGGAGGATGCGCTCGATGGACCTGCCAACTACCATCAGGGCTTACCTTTCCATCCTCTACTAGCTTGGTGAGCATGATGATGAGTCGCACGTTCTGCTCGTACACCATAAACCAGAAGTCCTTGGTCGTGCCCTCCTTCGGGCCCTGCGAGGCGATGTACTCGGTGCTGCCGGAGTAGCCCTGCGCAGGAAAGTAAAAGGCCGCACTTAATGAGACAA